TGCACAGCCCCAGGCGAGCCAGGCTGGCTGAGTGATCTGAGCCTGGGATTGTCCAAGGAGCTACCTGACCTGGGCACCTCCGCTTCCACTGACTTTCCAGCCCCCTCAGGCTGGGTTCAGATCCCCCTGAGCCGCGGGGAGCCCCGAGTGTGACTCGGCCAGTAGAGTAGGAGGGTTACTGGTTCTCTGGGGGACAGACTGCCTGATCCCTGCTGGGGGGCAGGGCTCCAAGGGCCCTGAGCCCCCTGGCCCTGGCTTTAGTCCGTCTTGCTCGTCTTCCTCCCCCAGACGGCCCCTTCTCCCAGCCCCCGGTCACTCCCTCCCCCGGGCAGCCCCCCCTTCCTCTGTTCCTTCCCTTGCCAGGTGAGAAGCTGCGGGGCCACAGCCTACCTGTCTTGGCTCAGGAGGCGCCCCCATCCCCCGCTGGGCCCCACAGATCACAAAAGCAGACAGCACCCCCACTACAGCACAGCACACTTAGATCTCCCCCTCCCCTCCCTTCAGAACATAAACTCCAGCTGCCCTCCGGCCTGGACCAGCGGGAACCTGCCCAGGGTGGGGGAGTGATGAAGGGTGGATCTGGCCACGGTCGGGAGCCCGGAACAGACCCTGCCTCAAAGCCAGGCTACCCGTGTCCGCCTGTGCTGCAGCCCCGGGCAGGTGAGCGGCCCGGCTGCAGGGCCTTGTCCTCACCATCTCCAACTCCCTCTGGCCCCTAATGCCCCCAGGCAGGAACTGGCCTGAGGCGGTGACTCATTTGGGGGCCAGACCCCCACCTGGCCCCCTTCCTGTAACCAATCAGCTGAGCCCACGGTGCTGGAGGAGGGCTGGTTAGTAGGTGGGAGGCAGGGGGACAGACCCTGGCTCCCTTCCAGTTCTACAGAAAAAGGTCACTGAGGGAAGTTCCCATGGAAGCAACTGGGGGGGAGGGGGCTGTGCTAACCCTGGGGAAACCAAACTACCCCCCCCCAGCATCACAGTTCCCTGCCCCGTGCACACATGGTCACCTCCTCTCAAAAAGACACACGGGCACTGGGAAAGGTTCAGAAAAGGGCAACAAAAATGCAGCAGGTTTGGAACAGGACCCCGAGGAAGAGAGATTACAAAGACTGGGACTCTCAAGTAGATCAGGATCCGCCAGTAGATCTTGGCGCCTCTGGCAGGTGATCCTGACTGGCTTGGCACTGGCACGTCAGTTGCCCCTCCACCCAATGTCATGCTGGCCCTGCCCTCTGCCTTGGAAAAGAGGAGACGAGGGGGATATGATCAAGGTCTATGCAATCGTGACTGGTGTGGAAAAAGTGAATAAGGAAAAGTTATTTACTTGTTCCCATAATATAAGAATTAGGCGTCACCAAATGAAATGAACAGGCAGCAGGTTTAAAACAAACAAAAGGAAGTTTATCGCATGGTGCACAGGCAACCTGTGGAACTCCTCGCCAGAGGATGTGGTGAAGACTAGGACTTGAACAGGATTCAAAAAAGAGCTAGATCGATTCCTGGAGGTTAGGTCCATCAATGGCTATTGGCCAGGCTGGGTAGGGACGAGGTCCCTTGCCTCTGTGTGTCGGGAAATGGGTGACAGGGGAGGGATCACGTGACGATTCCCTGTTGGGTTCCCTCCCTCCGAGACACCCAGCTTTGGCCGCTGTTGGCAGACAGGCCCCTGGTCTGGATGGACCTTTGGTCTGTCCTAGTCTGGCCGCTCATATGGCCACGTCTCCCGAGGGCAGCTGGAGGCAGGTGCCCCCTTGCGGACTCCAGCTCCAGGCTCGCTCTGGTGCCCGGCTCCCTCCTACCCTGCAGCACGGGTGCAGCGTGCCAGGCTGTGAGGCTGGCACCAGGCAAGCAGGGTTCTTCCGCCACGTCCAGCTCCCGCCTCCACAGAGCAGCCCCCGGCCCCCTGCCCCTCCTGAGTCGTGACCCTGCCAAGCATGTCCGCACTAGGGCGGCTGGCGTAGGAGCCCCAGGGGAACGGGTCGGTGCTGCGGATGCTGGAGAGCTGGCCTGGGCATTACACTGGTCCAAGGCTCAGAGACATCCCGTCCGTGCCCAAGGCAATACCAGCTCACCGTGGCAGGTGTGACCAATGCTCAGGTGCATTTTGGGGCCCCCAGGGGAAAGAGCCGTGCTCAGGGCTCCACCTTAGCTCCATGGGAGACAGGCCCACCACCCTACCAGGCAGGGCTGGCCGGGCCGTGGGGCTCGGGGAAGACAGGGGTGGGCGGGGCCTGCCATGCACCAGATGGCAAGACTCTCACTCGGCTCTGTAACTGACCCAGGGTTTCCCAGCTTCCAGGGCCTGGGGTGGGCTGCTAGCCGGGCACGTGGAGATCCAGGGTTAATGCCCAGCTCCCTGCGACGTCATTCTGCACCCCTAACACGAGGCCACTGCTACCCCCTGTGACGGCGCGTCGGGGACCCCTTGACCCTGCACCCCGTCTGCAGCAAGATGGGACTCCGCCAGCCAGGCGAATGGGGGGGGTTATTGCTTCTGCGAGGTGCAGCCCGGCCCGGGTTCTAGATGGGCATCGAAGTGAGGGGGCTGGCAGCCTCAGACCCCTTGGGGCGGGGTCCACGGGCCCCTGACCCCCCAGCACTCGGCTTAGGCTCTTCTCTTCCTGTTTTTCCCCTGACAAACTGACCAGCTCCCAGGCCCTGCCCCCCAACCAGGTGGTCGTCTCCACCTCCCTCCCTTTGTCTCCCCCCAACCCACCCCGGAAGAGCCTCGTTCTCTGCCCAGGCTGGGCCTAGTGTCTGGGCCAATCCACACGTGGGCGAGTCCTGATAGAGTCTCAGGTGCCTTAGTTGAAAATCAGAGATAAGCAATACCCAAGAGAAAACATGCTTTCTTTTTCAGTTGCATATTGCTCCACAGTGGATAACAATCTTACCTAAAGATAGGTCAGCTAAAGGTCAAACCATTTTTATAGTATATTGACAATAGGCTAAACTATTTAGCTCTGCTGTGGATGCCTTAGGTTGGGTGAGGAGTTCTTCAGTACCATGCAATTGTATTTCCTAATGACTTTAAGGCTTCCATTCAGATTTAAAAAGCAGTTGTATCAGTTCTGTTTAAAACATGCAAATTGGGCCAACTCAAGGATTTTTCTTCATTTTTGAAACTGGTGAATTCGCCCTATTAAACAAAACTGACTAAGACTAGTCTCATCTCTAGTCTCTTTTTATGTGTGACAAATATCATACTACAAAATGAGGTGGCGTTGACTAATAAGAATTGATTTGTTTTTAAAGAGGAATGAAATACACATGTGCATATTTTCCATGTGTTTTCCATGGTGAGTGCTTACTGGTTCTCCTGGCCACATGTGCCTCCAACACATCAAAGAATGGACTTTCCCCTATGCCCGTGTATCAGCATTTCCCCTGATTTAATAAAAGCAGAAGCATATATCCAACTTTAAACATGTAGTCACATTGAGGTTAATTTACCAACTCATGCTTCAAGTTAGGCATGTGCTTAAGTACCTTTCAGAATCAGGCTATCTTGCTTATCTGTATTTTTACCATCCTGGGCCTGATTGACCATTGACTGTACAATTTATATGGGTGTGAGATAGGTGTAAAACACTACTATTGGTAGCACCAAGGGCTGCTCCAGTCACAGGCACATTGTACAGCTGTTCAGGGAAGCAAATTTCTGGGCAGCTGCCTCAGGTTCAAGTTCGGCCTGGCCGCCAGCTCATCATGATGGAGAGGCAGCCAGGCAAAATTTGACTAGCACTGCAACCTCCTATACAAGGTGTCAATGCCACTCAAATTTGATGGAGGGAGCATCAAATCTGAAGCTTTAGCTGGGGCTATAAGAGGAGGTGGGGGACATGCAGAAGCCTTGCCTATGGCAGCTCATTATCATGATAGTCCCTTCTGATCTTAAAGTCTATACATCCGTGAGTAGGCACATTTGATGCTTGCTGATGTGCATAAGGTGCACAGTAATTACAAATCAGGCACACGGATCGGATCTGGACCAGAATGAGGAGACATTGGTTTAGGGATATTAAATTTAGATTAACTAATCAAATAGTCAATGGCTTTCTATTGTCTATTCAATTAGTCGATAAGGGAACTGCCTGCTGGGCTCTTGCTACAGTTCAAAAGCAGAAGACCCACAGAGAGAGTGAGAGAGATGGTGCTGGGGGGAACCAGCTTTTAAGCTGCCTCCCCCCAGCACCAGCTCCTGCTCCCCCCTCCCCCACTGCTGCCTCTGTATCAGAGGCAGCAAGAGGGAAGCAAGTAGTCAACTAGATAAACCTAGGCCTGCTGGTTAATCCGTTAACTGTATAGTCGGCTACTTGGTGACATCCCTGGCACGGGGCAAGAGCAGAGTCCTGGCCATGGGGCCAGCTTGGAGCCCTGGGAGTGGAGCCCTGGCCGAAGGGGGCCCCCACAGAGTCCTGGGCCAGCATATGGAGCGGGTCCCCAGAAGAGAGCCCTGAGTGTGGGGCTGGGAGTGGGCAGGCCCTGGGAGGGCGAGCGGGTCCCCAGAAGAGAGCCCTGAGTGTGGGGCTGGGAGTGGGCAGGCCCTGGGAGGGCGTGATGGGGCTGGGCACGGGGCCAGACGCGGGGAAGTGAGCCCCACAGGAGGCGAGG